AAACATTGTTCTAGCACCACGTGGGGGGTGGTTTCGAAAAAAATATGTGCAGCTAAGATTTCGTTGAAATCGTTCAATGGATGGTCGGAGATAATTCAAGTTAGCTATCTTTGATGTGGGAGTAAACTTAAGTCCACGGTCTAAGATTGAATGCTGAAGGGGTGTGAGAATTTTGCGGCTCAAGTTAGCTACAGTTTGGCCTAGCGGTGGCATCTCAGTATTTTTATCCCCAGTAATTAGTTTAAAGACTTACTCGATGCTTGAAGCTGGTGTATCCAAAACAAATAAATGCTGTTTGCTGTTTCTGGAGACCAATGAAGATTATCAACTGTTTCGAATTCTTCTTCGTAGGGTGGTAAGATTGTTGCGCTGTTGATACTGGACTCCATCATCATGTTGTTGAGGGTGCTGAGGTTCTGGTGTGCTTTCTTCGAGATTTTATTTGAAATGGGTATACATGTGAAGAGGATCTTGGAGTTTGGGAAGGTTTTGTTGGCTGTGGCGATTAATTTCTGGGCTTGGTTATCTGATCACGGTTGTTGAGGCCTACATGAAGAATAATGGTAGTAGGTTTGGGATCATGGTCGTATGATTCCAGGATTGACTGTATGTGATGGATTTGGGCACCGGGGTAAGAATGTATTTCGGTGTCTGAACTGGTTTTGGTAATTCGATTCAGGTTAGATGATCCAATTATTAAGGTTGATTTCTTTAGAGCAGGTAGTTTCCATAATGATTTGTCCTTGGTTTGTTGATAATACGGTTTGGTAGCGGATATAATGGTCGTCGACGGTGTGATTGGTACTGGTTTGGTAGTTGTTAGAATTGTAGCATTGGGAACGGACTGGGATCTGGTTCGAGGAGGGGAAGGTCTGGATACATGTCTCGACTTGGATGGAGACTGAGGGGTGGTTTGCTGGTCCAAAAACGCACAGAAGGAAGAAAGGTTGGCGGATCCTGGATCACGTGGTGAAGATTCAGATGGTGTGGAAGGGGAAGACGAGTCTGAAAGTGAAAAGAGAAGGGGTGTGCCCTCTCTACGAGAGCGTTTACCTATGTCTGCTGGACTAGGGGTAGGTGAACTTCGGGCTCGTTTAGGGGTTTGGTTCGGCAGCGTGGTAGCTCTAGATGGTGCAGGTGTAGTGTCCATTTCAGTTGGAAGAGATATGGTTACTCGGGTTTTTGTTTCGTTGATTGTTTGGTAGAATTTGGAAATTACAGCTTGAGTGAGACGTTTCCCATAGGAGCGACGGGCCCAGGACAGGGCATGAGAAACGATGCGGTCGACGGCAGGTGATGATAAAGACTTGGTACGAATGGTGGTCAGCTTCTCTTGAAGTGTGGTTTGGTAATGGTCGATCAGGACCTGCGTAACCTTACAGAGGCATGTCCGATTGAGGGATCTAATATTCGCGTCGACAGCTGATGTTTTCATTGCTGGACGGATAAAACTATCCAACTCAGAGACTTTGCGTTTGAAGGTAAACGCTGGTTGGCCTTGCTGTTGAAGGGTAAGGATTGCCAAATGATGGAGGCACTGCAAAACTTGGAAGAACACCTTCACAAAGGGTTCTTCCTCCTTATGAGTGGGGACTGGTTGGCGTCGGTGGGCTGGTAGTCGTTTCTGTTGTTGGTCAGGTCGATGGTTACCTCTTGATTGGTAGGCTGTGTTGTAGGTAGGTCGGCGATGGGGTGGGATACAGCTGGATGGGTTGGTTGGTGGTCGGCGATTGGTAGGTGGTAGAGGTCGATGGAAGACAGGGCCGTTGTAGGGTACGTGATATTGGTTTGGTCGACGATTAGTGTTTCTATTTCTGGCTTCTTGCCAGTGGTTGTTGTAGTTGGGGAGCATAATGAAAATAACTTGGGGTTAGAAGGGAATGTACAGCGGATGTAACAGGAGGAAACTGTATATGCTAGCGTGAAAATGTTGGGATCAAATTATGCAAATAAGTCAAACTGGGTTTGGGGATATATAAAGCAAGATGAAAAATGCAAAAAAATATATATTTAGGTGATAAATAACGCTAACAATGATGTGAAAAATTATAACAAGTAAAACAAAAACTTACGCAATTGACACGAACCGGTTTTCGAAATATTATCCTTTTTCAAGTGTCGAGGAATGGTTATGAAATGAGATTTAATTTGCGATTCATATAGTAGTTAGTTAATACAGGTTTTTGATTTTCTAAAAATTATTGAGTGAATCATGTCATATCTTTGATCAGTTGAGGATTAGGATTATTTTTGATTTCTTAATTAGTTGAGTCATATCTTTGATCAATTGAGGATTATAGAAATATTGGATTAGATTTTGATTATATCTGAGTAATAATTCGAAGGCTCTGATTGGCTGTAGTCTCCGGTGTACAATCCAATCTAATCGCTGCATTCCTTGTAACAAGAAAGATGACTACACATGTATATTGCAGTCAAGGTATAAGACGCAGTTTGTAACAGCTTGACATTGTGAAAACGGGTTACAGGATTTTCACTGTACATACTAAGATTGATTTTATGATCTGTGCATAGCCGGCATATGTGTACCTGAAAGCCATTTTTTACATTTTCACATGATTTTAGTCAGGTTTAGCAATGAGTCATGTTCTTTAACATATAGATAGACATTGTAACTTATATAATATGATATTTTAGGCGATTTTATTCTTTATAATGAATTGTATAAAAGATATTTATTTTATATAATCAGGCCACGTAAACAATCCGTCATAAAATATGTCTTTATAAACATATTTCAAGTTTTTGTCAATATTACTGACCACACCCTACCCTTTTAGGACTTTTGAAATATTCTAATGTACCTTCTTTTTTTTAAGACTTATTTTATTAAAATATATTACTGAATGTAAAAGTAGAAGTAGATTATGGTATTGAAGTGTGTCTCTATTGAATTTCTATGTTTTGTTATATTTCTTTAACAAAATCAAAGGGCACTTAAAGGTTCCTTTGCACTAGTTTAATACAGATATAAATTCATTCGAATCGAATTTCAAGGGACAAAGTCCAATTTCGCATTGCGCATCTGTGGATGATAACAGTAGTTAACATGTTCCTTTAAACATAAATGCATTTAGATATATTCAGGACATGACCATGGTTTTACGTTCATAGTCATACAAGGCACCTGAACGTGGGTAGGACAGCTGCTGCTTGTCTTCATTTTTGTCACCACGGGGCTCAGTATATTTAAATTGACAATTTGCAAACAAAATTGAAAAGATTTTCACTTTAAGATTAACAACGAGCTTTCCACCTGAGGGCTTTGATAAAAAAAACTGAAATTTGCTTTGGGTGCCCTTGGATTGCATGAACATTTGATTATGACATTATATCCCAAAATAACTGGATATTACAAAAATTACTGTATAAAAATCTCTTTATCAAAGCCCTCAGGTGGTAGCTGGCTGTTCTTCTTAAACTAAAAATCATTTCAATTTTTTTGAAAATTGTCAAATTAAAATTGTAAATTTGAATAATGTTTTCTAGACAGGACATAAATCCAAGAAATATTTAATTTTAGAATTGAAATGAATTAGTTGCCTACAACACGTGCATACTCTTATTTTTTAATTGTCGACAGGTGTTTTAATCAATAAATGAGTTGTTTTACGAATGCACGTACATCAATCCAACTACCAACTACTCCGACTACCAACAACGTTAACTTGTCATCTTCCAACAATACACGTACAGTATCCTATCCATGATATGCATGTGTGGGAGAGTTCTATAGGAAAAGAAGGGGTGTCAAATATATGGCATACTATATCCAGTCCTGTACGTCCACATTATCGGTCAACACTCTATAGATGAATCAGAGAGGGCATGGCGTCACACTCTCTATTCTTCATGGTCCACACCCTGTCCATTTTACAAAATAGTCAACCCAGTTATGATAATGGTCAGCTTTTTTTTCTTATCCATTTTACATTCTGACCTGATCTTCTGTTTAAGTCAATTTCTCTAGCTTTGATTTAAGGCTGTCGTAACCAGATCACAAAACAGAGTAGATTTAGTCCGAAATTAACCGACTCCTGCTTATTCTCCGATTTCTATAAGTCGAAGTTAAAATCATTTCAGCAAAGCTCCTCATTTTCTGCTCCTATTCGATTGTTCGACATCCTGTGCAATGATGTAAATTGGCCACTAAAGCGATATAAGCTATTCTTTTGCAAAGGATCCTTAACATTCTCAATCTACCGAGGTGTAGGTATGTTTCATTCTTATCGTTCTTATCGAAAAGTAACTTAAACAGTTTAAGAGTAAGAATATTTCCGACTAAACACGTTAAAGTTTAAGCAAGACCTGGTTTGGGAAGGTACTTTGAATAATGTTAACGAATGTATTTTTGACACTAAATGTTCTATCTAAATGACATCAGTTTAGGTGAAAGAAAACAGGTTTGGGTTGTGATTTGACTAGTTTGGGAGGCGGCAGGTGTTTGACCTGAACTATTTATTTAAAGGGTCAACTAATTGCTTATTCAACTTATTTGTTAAACGATTGAAATTTCAACCTTAGTTTTTTTTTGTTTTATATGAAATATCTATTGTATGTAATCTTTAATAATAAGGAAGACGAATTTGCATAGAGAAGTAAAGTTTATGCAGCGTGACAAAATATAACTGTAGCCTATATATTCTGATCACAATGGGATTTCTAGAGGATATGACAATGGTAAAAGCTTTTGAATCATTATAGCTTAAAATATACAGCTTAACGTTACGTTTATATGACTGTCTACCAAAATATAGTTTAATGCTGCGATTTTATTAAAATGAAGAAGGCTGTGATGGTCGAAACGTTTGGAAACTTGCGTTTTGATAATTAGAAATTCCTTTGTTTCCCAAACTATAAAGAGGGACTGAGAGGCACACACGATCGTCTCTTCAACACACACGAAACAATTACATATTTCTATCGCGATTCAATTCAGCAGGTAGCCTAGTATTTTGGATAGAGAATGAAATTTCATGATGCCTTGTTATTTTAAAACCTACCAATCAAAACGATTGTACGTAGCCATCTTAAGATTTTGTTTTGTAAATTTGAACACCCGCATGAAATTAGATTCCTTACATCAAAAGCCTTTGTTATCTGAGTAGTGTTTATGACCAATATGACCAGAACAGAATTATTTCTATAGTACCATTGTTTTAGCTGGTCTCAGGTGTTAATTGCAAATGACCCGACCAGATCAGCTTAAATATTACATTTCACAGACTCGCATCTGGGCGAGGAGGAGGTGGTTTTGAAAATGATATTAAAGAGAGGATACTAGGACACGGTCGCACAATTAAAGGCAACGAAGTAAATATATCAGTCCAGATCATCGCCACTGAATCAAAACTCGACAACACTTTGGTTCCAGCATACACAAATATGACATCTAAAATAATAATAAGTCAAGGGATATTCAAAATCACGAGGCCGGGATTCTTTTCATAGCTATGATTTGATTTCAAAACTTTCAAGAAGTTTTTGTGCCTTCGAGTACAGCAATTCTCCAATGCTTCCAAGATTTTGGTTGCTGAATTTAATGATTTAATAATAGTGTCAATTCTCTAATTTCAGGTCAACTGGTTGGGAGAAATTTCATCAGGGTATTAGAAAATATCATTTATATTCACCAGATGATGACGTCATACCTGGTCTATTAAAAGATTTAAATCGTAATCCTTTTGTAGATGTTGGTAAGTAACGTTTGTCACAATCTCTTAAATAAATATAAATATACAGACATAGATGGTCGAAGCTTTTCATCGTCCAGATAGGACGGACAGCCAAAGCCTCAAGTGCAGGACGTGATTGTTCGGAAGGGCAAGTAATATATCCGAAGGGATAGTGTTTAGTTGCAGTAAGGAATAGGTAGTCAGAAGTTTGGTCCCCCACCTCCCTGTAGCTACGGGCCTGCTGCTCGAGTGGTACACCTATCATAAGGTAGTAAAATAAATTTGTACCAGTGTTGTTTCTAAATTTCCCACACGACACATTTCATGACGTTGTCCAATTACGGTGCAGAAAAAAAGGTTCATAATGAAATGCTGTTTGATTTTAATCCTATGACGAGCAGTAAGTTGAACGTTAAACTTTTTTGTTTAATAATTTTGTTCACATACAGTACAGTCTATGTACATTTGAATTATATTTATTGTCAGATATGAAAGAGGGAGGAACACAGTTAAAGTTAATAATAACATTTCAAGACGAAGGAATAGCATTATTAAAACCAATGAGGTAAGGAATCCATGCAGGGGTATGTTATCCTGAAGTATGATATAATGTGGCTTTAAAATCAAACTCCATTATACGCTGGTTGCACTTACTTGATTCATACTGCTGGACTCTATTTAAATGTACTGCCTTTAAGGTACGAAGTCTTCTAATTCAGCGACTTACTATACATAGCAATTAATTTCAGTTACCTTCCTCTCCTATAACAAGTGAAATATTATGGAAAGTAGGTATACCCCAATTTTCGCTCGACACCAACCATTTACCTCGGTGGTTTAGACGACAAGAGATCGCCGAGCACCAGTTTCACGTATCTGGGGTGTCCCTCAAGCTGAATAGTATCAGTTTTCAGAATAAAAATCCGAGATCCGGTTCTTCTACAATTTAATAAAACTGTTACTGAGCGAAAGTTTATTGATTTCAAACGATTATTTTATTGTTGAAAATTGCAAAGAGTAAACAACCATCAATATTAATCGCAAGTGAAATTTCATTCATGAGAAATTATTTCCCCTTAGGCACACAGCAGCACAGACAATTTTCTCAATTCACATTAGAAACTTTATCACATAATGAGTCTGATGCCGGTATCCCGTGTTTACATTCCATTATTGAATTTGTTCTTGTTTTAGATTCCCGAGAACACAAGAAACTTTGATAAACCATTTTTATTTTACTGATTATGAACGTCATAATGCAGAGATAGCTGCCTTTCATTTAGATCGGTAAGAGCCAACATTTACTTTTTTTTGTTGAGGTACACAAAATTTTATTGTGGTGAACAGACATCTAACAGGTCATCGTGTCCAAACCACACACCCCATTCGTCAAATATATCAAAATCAGTCTGTAGATACGATACTGACAGGTATGGAATAGAAGATACATTACCAACATGTGGATTGAATTCTATGAAGCGATCTAAGAAATTGGTTAATCGAGTTTATCTCATTCACCCTTTCATCTCTGCGTTCATTTATTCATTTATTTATTCCTTCAATCATTCGTTTATGTCTTCATTTATTCGTTTATGAATTTATTTTTTTGTTCATAGTGCCTTAGGATTTTATCGAGTACCACCAACTACTGGTAGACTAGTTAATATTTCATCAGAATTAAAGAAATTCGCTGATCGCAAGTTGGCGAAGACTTTCTTCTATTCCCCAGGTACGTCACACTGCATTTATTT